CCATTTCTGGCCGGCAACTTTCAGCGTCATTAAGCCGCTGCACCACCGCGTCCCCCATTCATTTCAAGTTACAATCTTATATTTGCAATGGTTGTAACCAGGTGAGGCTATAGATATCGACCTCCACTATTTACCATAGCTTTGGTCAATTGTGCCTTGCTCATAACATCTTTATGCATAAGTATTTTAGTTCCTGGTTTCCTGTATGTGTTTTTTGTCTCTCTATTAGCATATATTTTATATTTTATTTTCTGCCATTTCATAGAAACTTTATATTTTTATTTGAGTTTTACAATTTTAATGGTCAAACTATACAATACATAATATGGTCAGTGACTGTAATAAAGGCTATTCATTATTAATAAAAGAGAAAAACAGCAAAATAAGTTATCAGTTATCTCTAAGAGAAAATTTGCAGAATACCCTTTCATTTTGGAGTTCAGTAAGACTACAAAGATGCTATTTGAACAGATTTGAAGACGCTTAGGCACTTGTCCCTCAATGCTCATTATATTTTTTTCAATGATATTTATGAAATGCTTTCATGTGGCTTTCTTGGAAGCTATGGAATCAGTTGGTGTATGTGTTTTTTTTTAATAAATAGAACAAATCAACCCACAGTTCTCACACAAAGCACAAAGGATCAGACTCAAATTATCGTACTTTGGACACAATATGCGAAGACCTAGCTCTCTGGAGAAGGCTCTAATGCAAGGAAAGGGAGAAGGAAAGAGAAGAAGAGGATGACCAGCAGCAAGGTGGATGGATTCAGTTACAGTGGTGATGAGAACACCATTGGAAGTCTTGAAAGAACAGGTTAGGGATAGATTGTCATGGAGAATATCTATATATGTTGTCACTAGGATTCGAAAATAACACTTAATTGATTACACTTAATCAATCAAAAGTTTATAAACAATCTATCAACCAATCCCTGCCAAAGTCAGAGGTAGTACAGGCTAGTATGGACATATTTTGGCTGGAATCTCACAAGCTTAATCCTAGAATTCTGCAGCTATGAAGAGCAGTTCTGCCATTCTGGGAAGAGAGAAGGCTTTTCTAAGGAGTTACTGTCAGGTATTACATAAATTTCCACAGGTAATATGAAGAAACATTTAACCAGAGGCTCTGCCCAACCCTAGTCAAACACAGCATGAATGAATATTGACAGTTTTAATGCTAAAAATACCACTGTGTGAAAAATCATGGCAGAAATATCTCTCCAGAGGAAGTAATAAACCTAAAATTACTTAAGTGAAATCTAGACTGGGATGAAGTTAGAACTGAAAGTCATGAATTCACACTTACATGCAGTGCTAAACTAATGGAATCCATTGATCTACTAAATTCTCATTTTAATTGCATCGATTATCTTGTTGCATTTCTCCAGTATGATTTTAAAATTTAAAAAGTACAGTTTTCAATATTAACATTTCTGTATTTAAATTTTTTTTTTTAATGATTCATTTAAGACCATGAAGAAAATCCCAGGGATGTAGGCTGGAAAGAGAAATGGAAACTAGAA